TTTTTTTTTTTTTTTTTTTTTTTTTTTTTTTTTTCTTTTTTCAATACAGCATAGCAAAATTATTGGTTGAAATATTTTTTTTATTTTTTTTATTCTACAAAATGTCTTAAGCTGCAAACACTATTAATGTTTAAACCGTGATAAAATGAGACTATTATAAATGTTACTTGACTATCCATTTGTGTTGAGCATAATTTCTTAATGTTGTATTTTTACAGTTTTCTCTTTAATCATTCACGGACGCACATACATCATTCTAAAAATCGGAAAGCCTCCAGCTTCCATGAATTTGCAAGGAATACAAGCGATGCATGGGACATTAATGATGATGATGAAAGCGTAGAGGTTTTGCACTCCATGTCATATGAACCTAAAATAACTGATGGTAATGTGGTAGATATCGTGGCATCTCACTGTCGACTACAGGAAGAAAACTCCAACCAGTCTGTTACAAAGTCTGCCAGTGAAGACCAACTGCACAGAGTCACTGCAGGTGAGTCATAATGGAAGAAGTAAAATGGTACCTGCTTAAAATGCAAATTAAGAGGCTTCTCTAAGATCCCAAAAGATATTTGGAACAATTCACTAGGATGGATAAGTGATTCTAACTCTGTTTATTCTATTAAGATCATTTTCACCTAGTAATGTTTAACCCTTTCGCTGCCAGGCCCTGCGCTCCACTTTTTTAAATTAATAAATTTTTTTACATTTCAACTGCATCTTTTAGAGTTTGTAAAATAACCCTCAAACCCTACATTTGCTGAATGCACATGAAGAATAAAAAGATGGTGCTGCTAATTTCAGTGCACAAACATTTATCAAAATTTTTTTTTTTTTTTTTTAAATACATTAAAATCATAATCGGCGCACACAAAAAACATGCACGATTCCTACTAAATCTAAAGGATAAAACTGAATTAATAACAGATATTTGTACATTTTAAATTGGGCCTTTTTGCAAAACTGCAAATGTTCCAACAATGCACTGCAGGTCATGTGCCTAGCGCACACCACAATATAGTGCACACTAGGGATGCACCGTTACCGATACTGAGCATTTAGTGAGTACTCGTATTTGCCCAAATGCTCTGATACTTGCCTCGATACGGCAACTGCTGATCAGAGGGAGATTTCCTCTGATTGGCAGTGCCGGGAGGGAGTATGGAGCCGGCTCCCCGGCCAATCGGGTTTCCTGATTTCAGTCAGGAAGCCAGGCTGCCTCTGTGTTGCGAGGGAGCGTAAAGCCGGTGTGCTTTATATAGCACACCGGCTTCCTGATAGGCCGGGAAGCTCGGCCCACGCTACCTCTTGATGCTGGTATTGGTACTTTGTATCGACGAGTACTGACGGAAACAAATCGCTACTCCATATCGATAAACTGCTATTTATATTCTTTTTATTTATTTTTTATGATTTATTAATAAATATAAAATATATA